TTTTTTTTTTTTTGCTGATTTAGCTGACTTGGCAAAATATGTAAGATATTTACAAAAAAATGTTGATGGTGGGATTCGAACCTAGGCCAAGGAGCATTCAAATGGCCTTAAGAGCCACTTCACCTACCACAATTTATGAAAATTATGTGACTTCACTTATATATATTTAAGGAAAAAAAAGTTTTTTCGTCCTTTATCTGCAGGCCATTTTCATTTTGGTCCCGCTAATGGACTGTTTTTGGAAATAGTCCCCTAATTGAAAAAAAAATAGTTTTTCGGTCCTCTGACCGCCTACTGCAGGTCGAGGTTACCGGATGAGCCTACGTGTCCTTTAACCCGCCCGCGTGTCTTTTAACCCGCCTGCGTGTCATTTAACCCGCACACGTGTAATTAAAATATAAAATAAAAAATGGCATAAAAAACAGAAATAAAAAACGGGATCCAAATCACTTTACAAACAGTTCAATCGACTAAATTTTCTCCCAAAACACAAACCCTAACTAAGGCAAATCAGTACCCAAAAAACGTGAAATTGTGGGAGCATATATGAATTGGGCTCGATGAAGTTTAGATCGCCGTCTGCGTTCGATGATCCTCCTCCGAAATATGGTAAGTTAGGCTTTCAATTGTATTATTAACGCGAAATTGGGAGTTGAAATTTTCGATTAATATAGTTGTTTGAGCTAAAATTTTCGATTAATATAGTTGTTTGTGTGTTTATTGAATTAGAGTCCTGAATATGGGTAATGATATAATTGAGTTGGTTGTTGGTTTCGAAAAATGTTGTATTTTGTAAAGAAATCTATTGTTTGCTTTTGTTTGTCAACAATTAAAGTTGTGAATAATTGAGTTGGTTGTTGGTACGAACCAAAGCTTTTATTTTTTAAAGAATATTGTTGTTTGTTTGTCTGTGCAACAATGGGGGCATGTGCAGAACCTTTGAACTTTTTGTCTTTAATATAGAGAATTATTTTAAGTGCATTGTGGTGTTCTATTGTTTAATAGTGTTGTTTTTAAATGTTTGGCAGATGTAAAAAGCACAGATTACACATTATGTGTTTACTTTAGAGGTCATCTTCACATGCAAGGGGGACCACATTACATAGGTGGGGCAGCTTATAAATTTGACTGGGTGCAAATAGGGTGTACATCATTGGCTGCTTTGGACAAGCTGGCAGAGAGAGAAGGTATGAAGGGACCAATTAGGTATTACTACATTAATGAAGAAGACATAGCTGTTCAAATAAAGACCAATGAAGAACTAAATCTGGTGGAGAAAGATAAATTGTCTACCCAGAGCCAAAGAGAGTTAACTATTTATTTTGATGATGGTGATCCACAAGATTGTGAAAGTCATGATAGTTCATCTGAGTCACAGGGAGGGATTAACTTGAAAGATTCAGATATTAACCAAAAAGAAGCTAATGAAACTCAGAATGTGAATGAAGCTCAGGATGTGGAAAGTGATGGGAGTGTGGATGAAGACTACAACTTTCTTTCTGATTCTTCAGAAAATGAGGAGGATGACAATCTATTCGATGCAAATGTTGAGCTTGAAGCAGATAATGAATCTTGTGAAGGTGGTTCAATTGAAGCAGATAATGATGCTATCGAAGAAATGGCAAATTGGGTGTCTATGGAATTTGGAGAAGATGAATCTGTGGAGAATGCTGGCATTGCAGAGGAGACTCAGAGTCCTCATGATGATGTTCTTAAAGATACAACAGAAAATGAGGTTAATGAAGGTGGTGAACATCAAAATGTGGAAAGTGATGGGAGTGAGGATGAAGACTATAAATTTACTTCTGATTCTTCAGAGGGTGAGCATGATGACCATGTTTTCTTTTCAAATGTGGATATTGAAGCTGAATGGATAGGAAATGGGACACAAGACTATGTACTAGATTCAGAGGATGATGAAATGGGAGATCCAAATGTGATTGAGAGTGAAGATGACTACCATAGTGCAAGAGACTCAGATGAAGATTCAAGTGAAGGTTTTGCTCCTGTCTTCAACACAAAACAACAGTATGCCCCAACCCTAAAATTGGGGATGATTTTTAGCAACAAGAAAGAGATCAGAGTGGCAGTGCAATCTGATGCCATCAAGCAACACAGAGATGTGAAAATCACGAAAAATGATTTAAGAAGAGTTCATGCCAAGTGTGTTGACCATGAATGTAAGTGGA